TTTGTAACGGAATGTATATTTTCTTACATAACAACCTAGCTAGTAGATCACTTGTGGTTACGAGATTTATTCAATGGCTGTAACACGCGTTCTTAATTCGTTTTGGAATCTAATGACTCTATACGGTGTCTAGACTCGCGCTACTCTAATTTATGAGTCATAGGCTTGAAGATTTATCTAGTAACCATGCCGTACATTCGAACTCATCTTGGAGTCCGAATCCTATCATCATATCACATGTTCCAATTCGTTTTAGAATTAGACATACGTGCTACTCAAACTCACACTACCGGAGACGTCAAATTTGCCGAGTGTTTTTATGTTTGCCGAATGTATTCCCTCGGGCACTCGACGAACAAGTTCTTTGCCGAGTGCTGCGCTAAAAACACTCGGCAAAAAAAAACACTCGACAAAGAGGGGGTTTGCCGAGTATCAAAAAAAAAATTCGGCAAAGAGGGGGTTTGCCGAGTGTTTTCTTTTTTGCACTCGGCAAAGAAATAAAATCTTTTTTCTAGGAAAGAAGGAGAAGAAAAAAAATAAAAAAAACTATGCCGAGTGCCCAGATCTAAGACACTCGGCAAAGGAAAAAAATCATACTTAATTCCCCCACCCCTCCCCCTCCCCCTTCTTAATTCCCCAGGCTCCCCCTCCCTTCTTCCCCCATGGCACCCCCTCCCTCCCCCTTCTTCTTCCCGGTGGCGCCCTCCCTCCCTTCTTCCCCCTTCCGGTGGCCCGCCCCTCCCCTCCCCTTCTTCTTCCCCGACGGCCCCCTCCCCTCCCCTTCTTCTTCCTGGCGGGTGCCCCCTCCTTCTTCTTCCCCACGGCCCCTCCCTCCCCTCTTCTTCTTCCCATGGGCTCCCTCCCTCCCTTCCTCTTCACCCGGCCGGATCCGGCCCTCCCTCTCTCAGATCTGGCCGGTGGCGGCCGGATCTGGCGGCGGGCCCTCCCCTCCCCTTCTTCTTCTCCCGGTCGGATCTGACGCTCCCTCTCCCGGATCCGACCGGTGGCGGCCGGATCTGGCGGCGGGCGTGGTGGTGGTGGTGGTGGTGGTGGTGTGGTGGTGGTGGTGGTGGTGGCCGGCAGTTGTGGTGGTGGTGGCGGCGGCGGCGGCGGCGTGGTGGTGCCACTGGCAACTTGTTTTTTTCCAAAAAATGTTTGCTGAGTGTTTTTTTGGACTCGGCATAGTCTTTGCCGAGCGCCCGACGATTGACACTCGGCAAACAACTCTTTGCTGATAAAACCTTTACCGAGTGTAACACTCGGCAAACGCTTTGCTGAGTGTTTTTGGGGCTTTGCCAAGTGTCCTTGGCACTCGGCAAAGCTCCTGTATCCCGTAGTGTCATATCGTCACAGCCTCACAGGAGGCTAAAGATTTATCCAATAATCATATCATGCATTCTGATTCGTCTTGAGGTCAGGCTCTATACTATGCCTGGATACATTATTCCAACTCGTGCGGTCTCGGAAGAGGGGAGACAATGAAGGACATGAAAGTGTCCGTCCATTTAATATTGCAACAAATTTAAAGAAAACTAAATTTTACGTGATTTGTTTATGTGTGTTCTTTATGAATCTCGAGTGATTAAATACCAGTTCCATCTATGGTTTCGCTGCTATTGAGTTCTTCATTACACTCGTTGATTTGCTATAGTAGACTTAACACGGGTGCTAGTATTGTTTGATTTATTTCAGGATTTAATGACACTATTCTTTTAGTGGTTACGTGCTCATTATTAATAGCAAGGCACCAGTGGTGACTTTGTCAATCTCGAGATTTGCCATTCAAACTTATTCCTTTAAAAATGCTTATAGAGGTAGGTTGTACGTGTCTGATCATATAGGTAAGTGTACGTGCATGTATGTAAATGTCTACATTTGTATCGGGTTTCGAAAAAAATCACATACGGCCACCGTCATGGAGCTTGCGACTCCTTTGCATGTAGCAATGGATTGTTATGACGTTGGATCACCGCTGTAATAAGCTATACATAGGAAAACATTTCCGACAAAAACATAACTGTTGGCTTAACATGGTGGTATGGTAGTGTTGGCTCTCACTCATTAGGTTCTACTATGTGGGCTTGTTTGGTACAAAGCTTCACTAGTGAAGTAGTTTTATAGGCTTCGGCTCCATAGAGCAACTTCACCGGTGAAACTAAAGTTGTTTTCAAAAAATGTTTCATAGAACTTCTTCTCAGGGAAGATAGTAGAGAGAAAGCTGGGAGAAGCTAGTATTTTTAGCTTCACCTTGGTTCCTGTGCTTAGAGAAGAGCTGAAAAACAACTTCTATGGAGAAGCTGGGAAGGAGAAGCTAAAAACAGCTTGGTGAAACTGGAAAAGAATCCCTACCAAACATACCTACATATATTCAAAGCCTCACGTAGCGGAATGGGTGCCAAAGAAATATATGATCAAACGAACAGAAAAGTATGAAATAAGCCCACCTAGCAAAGTTTGGATGCCTAGGCCCCAAACAACGAACAACATAAGAAAATCAGCCCTGGCTGATAACAGACCGCTTAACTAATACTTAAATTTGCTCCCAAAAGAAACTAATCCTTTAAATACTATGCGCAAAGATTAATTAAATTTAGAAAATTGAATTTATGCTCTTTAATATTAGAGCTAAGTATAGATTAGATTAGGTTGTTACTATTTGTTAGCATGCATATGCTCTAGAGTTTTACTAGGTAAGGTTGTGATTGTAACAGACCAAGGAAGGAAAAAAAAGTCTACCTTTGCTTGCAATCAGTACACCAACTCTCCGTTTTCTTTGCCAACAACATGCAGCTTGTTTTTTTCTAAACCAACAAGCAGACGCCTTTGCCTCCTCTCTGAATCACAACCAACACAGCACAAACAACACGCTCACCTCCTCTTCCTATTGGCAATGGCAACTCCTCTAAAAGACAACTACTTGTGTCTTCAAGAGCTTCTCCACTACAATAATGGTACTCGCCTTTTTAATTCTCCCTGTGTTCTACTAATTTTGCATAACTCTATTCTCTACTAGCAAGCACACGCAAACAGGGATGGATCTAGCTTGGGCGTTGGGGGCTCGAGCCCACTATCCCCATGCAGACAATGGAGCACCCAACCCACCCTACCACCATGCACTCCCAACAATTTTTATACATGGTTGAAGAGGAGGAAGGGAGAAATGAAGAAAGAGTTCGAAAAAAGAGGAGAAAGAGGGTGGAGAAAAGGAGAAAGAGAAGTAGGAAGCCCCCCCCCCCCCCCCAATCCTAATTTGCATCTTAGGTCTGCCACTGCACACAAAACAGAGTAAGAGCAATTCCTTGCTTCTTCTCCCTCACAACACTATACACACAACTCCTCTATTTCCCCCAAATCAGAAGGAAACAGATGATCCACTCGGGATTACCTCTTATTGAAGTTTTGTCGTTGTCCTTACTCCAATTGAATGTCACCAAACTTCGGTGGGGGATCACTGCACTCCTCTTCTTGTGCGCGCCTTTGCTCTCCTCGCTCCGCTGCTACGACCCCATCCCACATCTCCGCACCATAAGCTTGTTGCCACCCTCTGCTTCACCTTCACTTACCGTCAGAGTAGCTCACTACTCTTCCCCTTTGACGCCTCTTTGCTGGCCACCGTTACACTGACGAGGTAGAGCATGTGGTCACCTCCAAGGGTCCATCGCCATCCCCCATCCCCTAAGATGTCTCTGACACCATGAGAAGAACCTATTTGTGGAAAATTTTCTAAAATAGCGAATACATAACTATTAGTCCATACATATATAGGCAATGCATAGGATGAGCCAATTCACACAAGCATATTACGTACATATAGCCCAACGCAAAGTGTGTGACCAAGCCTAGGTAGAAGTGATGGTAATTGTGAAGTTTATCTATGCACTTTCTATGAAGTCGTAACAATAGCGAAAACTAAAAAAAAATGAACACATCATATTCTGAAAAGCTAAAATGCGTGGGGTTCAAATCCCTGAAGCTTATTAGGGCATGGCCAATGCTGGCATACAGTTGTGGTGGTTTCATTCAAAGTAGTTTATCTCTAAATAGGATTGGAAAATTTTAAACCACTATGCATCCAACACAAGCATATTTTTCTTGTCCCTACAATTCCCTCTCCTACTTTTTCCCTCATATTTTTTATGATCATATCTTCTCTCTCCTTAGGCTATTGTAGCTTCTGCAGGTAACACTACCATCTACAAGTCATCCATTTTTTTTATTCATGCCTAGTTGGTCTGACAAGATAAACACTAAGGGCTTGTTTAGGACTGCTTCACTCCACGTTTTTTTAGCTCTATTCCATGTTTGTCAGTTAGATGTAGCTCCACTCCAGAAAAAGGGTGGAGTTGTGAGAACACGTAAAGGGATGCTCTAGAAACTCAAATTTTTTTTCTGAGCTACACCACGGTGGAGTTTGTCGAGCAAAGTTCGTGGTGCAGTAGTCCCAAACAGACCTAGAACTAGTGCGTTGGGGCTGCTCTTATGCTGGGGACTGAACAAAGCAACTGGACAAGGTTAAGTAAGCGTGCACTATCGTCATTTCTGCTACTGTTATAAAGTGCTTTTTTATCTATCACTTTGATCTAAACCATATATACTGATAGTTCTGTAATATGGCTTTTAATGCAATCTCTTGCGACATGGTGAATCATACGATTAACTTCCTGTACGTACTTTACTTAACCTGAGCTCGAGTTACATAAATTTGATTCAAACTATTTGTCTCCTGTAGTCTAAATTATTGTGCATGGTTGTCTCATGCTCTGACGAAAATTGCACGTACAATATCTGTACAAGTAAAGATTGCAAGTGTCCGTACTTGTTGTCTGTAAAGATTGCAACAGCTGCCTTCTCCAAGAAATTTTTCGCGCGCCACTATGTACTAGAGCCAAGTTACATATTCAGATTGAAATTCTTGGGAATCATAAAGATTATCGCATTGACTGCACCGTAATGCGTATCCGCAGGCATCACACGGCGTCGGAGTACTGTGCAATAAACATTTACGGGACTTCGATTACACTGTGCCAACCAAACATTGGCACGAAAAGCATGCACAAGGGACTTCACAAGAGGCTTCAACAAGAGGACCTGCTCTGCTCTGGATATTAACAAGCGGATCATCATCGTCTGACTGATTAAGGGCCCGTTCGTTAGGCCGGGAAAAGTTTCACGAAGCGTTCCGGCTGGACAAAGCTTACGCAAATTAAACACCCGATCCTGGCCGGATTACATCCTGGTCACGGTTCGCCAGGAACCGAACAGGCCCTAAGGAAGATGGTGGTGCAGGGTTTCCGGCGACATGGAGATCATCTGCAGCAGGCTGGAGCTAGAGAACGTCTCGTCGAGGGAGATCTCGATCTTGCTGCTGCTCCCGTTGTTGTCCCTCAGGATGTGCATCAGTTCTCTGGCGACGGCGAGCATGCACAGCCCGTTCTCGGCGCTGGACAGGCACCGGACGGCGAGCTCGAACACCTTCCTCACCTCATCGTGCGAGGCCGGGAGCTGCTTTCCCGACAGAAGCGTCGGGTCGATGACCTCGTGGAGCCTCCCTTCCCTCACCTTGGGCGCGACCGAGTCGAGCGGGATCTGCTGCATCAGCCCCGTCAGTAGCTCGATCAGGAGGTGGCCGAAGTTGCACACGACATCCTGGTCATACGACGCGGAGTAGTACGTCGCCGGCCTCGTGAGCTTGTAGCCGGCGATCTTGGCGGCGAAGTCGGTGTCCAGGAAGATCTCGCTGGACCTGAGGTCGTACAGGAAGGTCGGGGCTGTCTCGTGCGCCTGCAGGTACGTGAGGGCGCTGGCGACCTCGATGGCGATGTTGAGCCGGTGGTACCAGCTGAGGACGCGGCACTTCATCTGGCGCAGGTGCTCCTCCAGCGTGCCCCCGGCGAAGTGCTCGTGCACCAGCAGCAGCGCGTTGCTGGAATCGAGGCAGAAGCCCACGACGCGGCCTATGTTTGGGTGAGAGATCTCGGACAGGAGCTCGATCCGGTCCAGGACCAGCCTCAGCTTCCCCTGCGTCTCGTAGCCGATCCTCTGCACCGCGACCAGGGAGCCGTCGTCGAGCACGCCGGCGTGCACCGTGCCGTCGACGGCGTCCACGGCCTTCTTGCTGTCGAACCTCTTCGTTGCTTCCTCCAGCTGCTCGTACGTGAACTGCTTCGCGTCGCACACGCTCCGGAGGATCTTGGGGATGCACGGGTCGAGGTCCCACCGGCTGTCCTTAGAAGGCTGTCTCAGGAACAGCCAGAACGAGACTGCCGCCGCCAGGAAGAAGAGCGAAACGAAAAATCCTGTGAACGCAGACGAAATCAGCAAACACAAGAAAAGGTGTTCGCACGTACTAGCATCTGGCTGATCGAATCATCAGGGCAATGTGCAGTGACCGCGTACCAGCAAGGACGACTGCCTTCTTGGAGCAGAATCGTCCCTGGCAACAATCCCTGCCGTCACTTGCATGCTCACCATTGCTGCAGGCTGTGTACACAAATGCATACGTGTTTTGAGGACTGATTGGTAGACGTGGCAGATCGATCGCACGAGTAGAACCGTGTACACTTTTGTACTTACATGTGCCTTTGGAGCAGCCTGTGCCCTGTGCGAAGCCGTCCCCGACGAGACCCGCCGCGCACGCGCACCGCACGCCGTCGTGGAGTGCCGTGGCATTCACGAGCGCGGCGCCATCGGCGCATTTTGCCATGGCGCTGCCCCTCAGCACGGCCCACTCGACCTCGATCCCCCTCACAACCCCGGTCGACGCCCCTGCCGGCGCCGACCGGTTCTTGACCCAGCTCGAGAAACCCCGGCACCCGTAGTCAGCGAAAACGCCCAGCCCGTTCCCAGGCTTCCAGACGCTGCCGTCCGAGAGCGGGTAGCAGCACCCAGACTTGCCGCCACACGTCGCGACATCATCGCAGCCGGCGCGGCAGAGAGAGGAGTCCTCGCAGGCGAAGAGGCGGAGCACGTTGGCCGGCGTGATGGCGAGGAAGGGCGCGGCGTCGAGCGCTGCCGCCGGCGAGGTCGGTCGTGAGAAGGAGGCGTAGGCCGCGTCGCACGGGGATGTCGACGCAGGGGCGTAGTCGAGGAGGAGCGATCCTGAGGGGAGGAAGGCGAGGACGCGGAACGTGGCGGAGCCGAGCGCGAGGGTGAGGGTGGCGCTGGCGTTGCAGGAGAGGCGGAAGAGGGAGGAGTTGGCTCCGGCGCTGACACAGGAGGAGTTGAGATGGAAAGGGTAGGGGAGGACGAGGTCGCCGCAGCGGTCGCCCCCGCCGCAGCCGCTGGGGTCGTCGGTGGCCTGCGCGGCTGATGCTGCAAGGAGCACGAGAAGGATGTGGAGGTGGAGGCGGCGGAGGGGCAGAGGAGTCATGGGTAGTGGCGGGCGGTCGTGGACGCGCGGCATGCTGATTGAGAGAGTGCTCCAGCGCAGTGTTGCCGGGTAGTTGTAGGTGGACGGAGTGGGGGACTGCACTTCGGACTTCGGTTGGCGCGTGGGACTGACCGAGACCGAGAGCTAGTGGGTGGAATCAGCTGAAGCTCGTGTGCAGCTTGGCTTTGCTTGGAGGCAGAGCTTGAGCATTTCCATGGCGCACCGAGATAGGAGCCGCAACAGTAATGGTGACTTGAGTTTGAAGGTTTTCTTTTTGCTCTATTCTATATCGTGCCATAGTTTTACAATTTTTAGAGAATCTGCGATGGTAACGGACTAGCGCAATATTTTTTTGGATTATTAGGGAACGTTTTTACAGATCACCAATATCATGTGCCCAATATATATATAAGTCCTATATGGCCCCGTTCGGCTTACCTTATAATCCGCACTATTCAGCTTGTTTTTTCAGCCGGAACAATGTTTTTCTCTCACAACAATTCAGCCAGAACAATGCTTTCAGCCAATTCAGCTAAGTTTCAGCAAGCCGAACGGGGCCATGTCATAAATAAGTTTACCATTTTTCTTCTCTTCTTTAATCTCTTTCTCGGTGCCTCTCTCTCTCAATGGTGTGTTGCTCCACTTCTTCCCATGCGCCTCACTCCACACCCTCAGCTCCATTGTCCTCTCTCCCTCCTCGGCACCACACAAATCGGATTCATCTTGCCACGGACCGATGCACCTGGCTTGGTGCAGTGCAGCCGTGCGAATCGGGGACCTTTCCGAGGTCCCCATCACCGGCGCCGGTGCAGATGGTAGGCCACAGCCCTCAGGTTTGAGGAGACCAAACTCCAGCTTGGATTTTTCCATCTAGCCTCTTCTCTCCTCCGGAGTCGATGATGCTACGCCTAAATCATCGCCAACCTGTCCTGGTGATGGAGGAGCTTGCGGACGTGGCGGATGGTGCTCCTATGGTGCTTGAGGCAGGGCATTTTGAGACTCAGGTCTCAAGTAGCTGGCACGCGAAGCTTCAATATAGACTGACGTGAGCGGCGGACGAGCTTCCACCAACGCTCGGTGCTGGGCAAAGGGACAGGCGGCGGTGAACAACGGATACGGGCATCCCTCCAACCAGTGGCGCACGCAGGACGGGAACAAAGGGGGCTAAATAATGAAGATTTAGGGCTAGGGCTAGAGATTAATAGTGATTTGAGGCTAAGTAACCATGGTCTAATGAAGAAAACAGGCTCACTAGGGGGTTGTAACCTCGGCAGCCCCCCCTTTGGATCCGCCCCTGCCTCCAACGGCTGCAACAATGAAGGGGTCAATGTTTGGGAAAGGGAATAGTAACATATGTTGTGGGGCTAGGCATGCTATTGGGGAAGCTGCAACTCCTGTTTATTTGAGGAGATATAAGGTCTTTTTTTCACCAAAACGAACGGACGCCTCAGCTCGCTCTCGCACCAAGTCCCTCGCTTCCTCCTCCCTTCCGCTTTCGCGCCCCACGCCTACCCAGACGCGTGCCCATGGCAGCCTCCCTGGCCGGCGGCGGCACGCTCCCCCACCCTGGCGTCCTCCTCCCCCACCCTGGCGGCTCCTTCCCCACCCCGGTGTCCTCACCCACCAGGAGCGCCCAATGCCCGCGACTTCGGTGGCCCTCTCCCCCACCACGACGAGATCAATAGAGCACGAGCGAGATCCATGGAGGTGGCGCGTCGGTGTTGCAGGGGAGTGGGCGGCTCTGCCCCACCCCAGCGCAGCGCCCTCCCCACCCCTCGGCGCCCTCTCTCACTCTGGCGACCGAGCTCCCCCCCACCCCGTGGTCAGAATCGACCGACCCAGCCTTCCCCTCCCATATGTTGCATATGTATGTTTCAGGTGTTTCAAGCATTTCAGATGCACGTTGCATTTGTTTCATATGGATGTTGCAAAAGTAGATCGGGGGATGTTGCACATGTTGTATATGTTGCAAGCGTATGTTTTGAGTGTTTTAGATGTTTCAGAGGTATGTTTTATTTGTGTTTTTTCGGACGCATGTTGCAAGTGTGTTTATCTGGATGTTGCATATGTTTCACACATACGTTGCATGTGTTTTATTTGGATGTTGCATATGGTTGCAATGGTTTTCAAGTGTTTTCATGTGTTTTTTTAATTCAAGTGTTTCAGAAGCATGTTTTTTCAAGTGCTTCAGCTGCTGTCAGAAATACGTTGCAACTATTGTATTTGGATGTTTCAAAAGTAGATCGGGTGTTTGCATCTCTTATGCAAGTGTGCTTATCTGGATGTTGTATATGTTTCACACATACGTTGCATGTGTTTTATTTGGATGTTGCGTATGGTTGCAATGGTTTTTAAGTATTTTCAGGTGTTTTTTTTTCAAGTGTTTCAGAAGCATGTTTTAAGTGTTTTAACTACCTTCAGACGTATGTTGCAACTGCTGTATTTGTATGTTTCAAAAGCAGATTGGGTGTTGCATCTCTCCTCCCCACCTTCTGCTGCATCATCTCCCCTGGCGCAGACAGGGCATTCGTACGACGCCGCGACCAGGTCCTTCCGAATCGGAGACGCCACGCGCCCTTCCTCTCTTGTCGCTCAGGCAACACGGGCCCCGCGTGGAGCGCTGAAACAAAGTGCAGCGCACGGGAGTTCGTTCGGACATCCGTGCGCTAGCACTACCGGAAAAATATAGGACAATTTTGTGGGATGAAAAGTGTTATTAGGGAATTGTTCAAGATGCTGGACCAACGATGATGACTGCCCCCTTTGGTTGTGCCCTTAATGCTGGGGACTAAACAAAGCAATTGGACAAGATTAACATAAGTAAACATATCCTATCGTCATTTTCTGATACTGTTCTAAAACTATTTTTTTTATCTATCACGTATGATCTAGACCATATATTACTGGTAGTTCTGTACTATGGTGTTTAATGCAATGATTCCCTTGTGACATGGTGATTCATATCAAGAACTTCCTGTATGTAGTTTACTGAGCCTGAACAAAAGTTACATCAATTTGATTCAAACAATTTCTCTCCTGTTGTCGGTGCGAAAAGTGACCAACAAGTAAATATTTGTAGTTTTGCCGTACGTTGTGATCGGATGTGGCCTAACACTCAATAACACATGGTTTATACTGGTTCAGGCAACGTGCCCTACGTCCAGTTTCATTCGGTCGGTGACTTTATTCCTGAGCCCAGGTGCTCGAAGTTTGCTGTGGGGTTACAAACGAATAGGAATAAGAAGGGGGTGTCGAAGGTCCGATCGGACTCTGAACCGAAGGGCCAAGAGTGACGGGAGCTCCAATGTGCGCTAAGTATTGGAACGTATGCCCTGTGTAGTTTTAGAGTTCTAGAGCTGTGGAGCTGTTCGAGTGCTTAGAATGTCTAAAGCTAGACAGAGAGAGAGTCAGAATCCTCCGTCTCCCGTTTGGAGAGAGCGCATCCCCTTTTATAGGTGAAGGGGACGGCCTTACAAGTTAGGAGAGAGAGAGAAAGGGAGTGTGTGTGTTTCCTAGTCTTGTGGCCCACGCCGTCGGGTACAAGACAGTTTGTCGACACCCACAATATTGTTGACGCCCAGATGCATGTGGCAGGCTCCTTCGTATTCTTTTGGTATGGCAAATGTCGGCGCCTACCATACTGTAGGACAAATGTCGACGCCCACAACACTGTTCGTGTTCTGCCATGTCTGAAAGGTTACAAAGCACCCTTCTGGCATGGCCTAGCGGTACTGTCCTATAGGTGTGCAGAGTACGGTCCTCGGTATTGTGGTTGACTTGGGCGCCTTGCCTTATCTGCTCCGCCTGATTCTTGGGTCCTTACCGAGCGGGCGTCCCCGGTCGGTTGTTCCCAGTCGGCTTCGACCGCGCCTATCGGAGAAGAGTCGTAAGCAGAGGTTCAGTGTATTCCTGGTCAGAAAAGCAGGTCGGAGTCGGAAGCGAGCGTCGTCCCCTCCTTGGCCAGGCTTTCCGGTCGGAAAAGCGGGTCAGAGTCAGAAGCGAGCGTTGTCCCCTCCTTAGCCAGGCCTTCCAGTCGGAGACTAGATCACTCTTCCGCCCTGTCGTTAGGTATCTAGGCCAGCCCAGGAGTCGCACGTTGTTGTGATGCCGTATGCTGGGCCGAGCTTTTGCTGGGAAGCGGGCCCATCGGGGACCCTGGGTTTATGAACCCGATAGGAGCCCCCGAGCCCTTTTGGGACTTCTGTGAAGTCGTGAAGGGGCTATTTATACTCGTTGTACGAGAGCAACGGATGGGTGTAAGATCGCGAGTCACCGTCGGGCGCGATGGAGCGCGGACCCATGCGTCGAGCGTTATGGAGCGCGGACCCAGGTGTCGAACCAACAAACCAGCATGCTGATCAGTGGTCGTACATGGTGTAGGCAGCATAGTGGCCTTGCGTCCGCCACTGTGAGTCTATGTGAGTCCCCTGGAACGTCATGTCGTGGAGACGGGTCGTGTTGAGATGTGACCGCTCCCTGCACGATGCTAGATGTTTGACCTAAGGTTGTACTTTATGGCCCGTAGTGGTTGGAGGCGACGCGAGCTTCTGTTAGGAACCATGTCCGAGGGATTGGGCGAAACAGGGCCAGCCCTCAGACGTTGGTTGAGGCGAAGCCACCCTTCGGGAGTCGGATGAGGCGGAGCCCGGCAAGGGGTGTGGCCTTGGTGGTCCTAGAAATCGCCTGGGGGATTGTTTGACTTGCCAGAGGGTGCGTGCGAGCGCACCCGGTGGGTGTAGCCCCCGAGCCCCCAGGCGATTCGGGTAGAATCACTTGGGGGATTTTTTGACTTGCCAACATTCTGAGCCATCGTTTCTGGGGGCGCGGACCTAGGCGTCGGGCGCCAACGCAAACATGGGGCACGCCCAGGGGGTTGGGCGCGATGGAGCGCGAACCCAAGTGCCGGGCATGGCCGAGGGGTTGGTCTAGTTTCGTGCGTTACCCTATCCGTGGTTTCCGCAACTGGAGGGGCTGAGCTAACGTCGCTTGCCTCGATGGCTTGAGTGACGCGCTCGGTGAGCTCTCTAACGGGT